CCCCCCGTTTGATCAACGAATAGATTCTTTTCGACCATTGGTTGCTGGTGGAGATGAGGGGCAGGGACCCCGCGCTCAACGGTCAGAAGCTTCTCGCCGTTGCCTGCGGGCTGAGGGCACGCCTAGATGCCCTCCTGTCGGGAGCGCTCGTCGAGGCCGAGAGGCGCAAAGGGACCGGCGGCGACGGCGGCGGGTTTCCAGGCGGAGGCGTGCGTGACCAGAGGGCAAAGACGACGACAGGTGACTCGCGACGGGGGGTACGCGGACAAGAAGGTGACCACCTAATGCTGCAAGATCTTCCGCCGTTGCTGCTGATGGCGAGACGGGCGTGGGTGGACGGCGGGCGGCTCGGTGGTGGTGTCGGTGGCGGTGTCGAGGGGGGGCGCGCGGAGCGAGAGTGTGAGCGGGGTGATGCCGCGGAGGTGGACTGGGCGCAGGAGGCGGAGGCTCTCGCCGTAGACCTGGCGGAGTTCATGCTGCAGTCCATCGGGTGAGTCCGAGTCAAGGGTGTTCTTTCGTGTTTGTTTGTGTGATGATGTATCATCGGCTTTGTTGCAGGATGCATGATGGGCTATCATGCTTTCTTACATAGCCGTCCCCCCCACCCCCACGGCGCGCGCGTGTGTGCGTGCTTGTTTCTTGCGTAAAGATTGTTGTCGTTTCTCTTCACACGAGTCGTTTTTTCTCGAATTTCACCACCACACGAAATGTAGCGCAACAACGAACGGCGTGGCTAAGCCGCCCGCTGTCCATGAACCTTCGCGCACGAAACGGCGTGAGTCGTACCGTGGAACGTGTCAGTGCCGTTGCCTGAGATGCACTCTCAGGTGTCTTCGCGCTCACGACGGTGCAACTTTTGTTTTCAAAACCTGATGATGATGATGATGATGACTCCTGATCGGTTGTTCCCGGCGCAATGTACGACCGCACGAACAACCCATAAAAAAGGTACGATGTAAAGTCGGTGTCGCCGCGGCACGTGGAGGCCCTTCTGGTGGACACCCATCGCCTCACGGACCCCGCGGAAGTGAGGCGCATCCTGGGGGGGCACCCCAGCCTGCCGGGCGAAGACCAGCAGAACAAGGAGCCTTGCCCCGCAGAGGAAGAGGCGCGGCCTCGAGCGCAGCAGAAGAACCACCAACACAAGCAGCCCGAGGGGGAAGGCGGTGACGATGACGACGACGACGTCGGCGGGGGAGGCGGGGGGGGAAGGGACGCCCGTGGGGGGCCAGTGGATGGGACCGTGTCCGGCGGTGGCGGTTGCCGCAACAGCAGCAGCAGCAGCAGCAACAACAACATGACCGAGCTTTTGGCCACGTTGTCCGGGGCGGTGGAGGAAGAAATCCGAGGGAGCAAGGGACTGTTCGGCCTCGAGACCGGGGTGCTGGAACGGCTCAAGGGCGGGGCAAGGGTCACCCCCTTCCTGAGGCACGGCAGCGTGCGCCGGCAGGAGTCCTCGGGCAAGGCGCCGCACGGGCTGGCGGCGGGGGGTATGAAGAAGTGGTGGCGCTGTCCGCGATGCCACGTTTCGCAGGTAGGATACATGTGCATACGCCAAGCGTGTCTTGTCTCACTGTGAAAAAGCTGTCGATCGATCGATCGGTCCGCTTTCTTTTTGATCCTACCGTTGTATCTTGGTGGTGGCGTTTTTTTTCACTGATTTACAGCTGTTTCGAACCGTGGCTGTGGCGGGAAGAAACTGGTATTGACACATCCAGCACACCTAAACTAGCAAGAAAAATTGCTATTTGCTCAATAGTAGACGCACCGAGTGAGATCACTGCTGCTGTTGCTGTCGGAGAACATTATTATTTCCGACACACCGCCACTCGTCCACTTCCGGTGTTGCTGTTGGTGCCGCAGGTCGTCGACCTTAAGGCGATCCACGAGCACTTCAAGGTCTGCCTGGTCGACCCAGCCGCTGGCGGCAGCAGTGCTTCTGGGGGCACAGTAGCGACAGACGCCTCGGACAAGGGGCACCAAGAAGCCGCGCCGCCGGGGAAAAAGAAAAGGCGCATGGTCGGAACTTCCGTGAAAGGAAGCGTTCGAAAGTAGAGGAGGCGCCGAGGAGGTCCGTTGGATACTGATGCCCCACAAAGAATTGGCTCCTTTTGTGAGGAACGACCAACTGGACTACCGTCGTAGGCACTTGTGTGTCCTCTTGTCGACGATGGGTGAAACTGTCCACTGTCGTTCTTCGCCCTGTTAGCCTTGGGGCGGACCATGCATTGGTGACCGTAGTCAACAAATTTGTCGAGATGGGAAAAGGAGCCGACAAGGCATGTGGAGCTGGTGGTGTTAGCCCATAGCCCATGTAAGTTGGGAGTTCTGAACGGGGATGCTGGTTGTGCGTAAAAAGGAAGTGTGTTGGATGTTTTGTTGTTTCTCCTGGATGTACTGGTACTGCTGTGCGTCTTGAACTGTGAAAACGAAAGCACGCAAAAAGCTGTATCGATGTATTACTCGTGTGTGTTGAGGTAATACGGTGTTTGTGGCCACCACATGCCAACTCTCTTGTGCGGCAGACAGAGTCACCTCTCAGTTTTGGTCGTGATCGGCGTCGTCGTTAAAGCTGTTGGTTGGGTTCGCGTCACTACTGCGTGCGCAGCAGCCTGACTCGCTCTCGCGAGTTGTTGCACCCTTGCCTTGTCCTCGAACACCAACCGCCGGAGGAGACCTTTGGGTCTGTCTGCGGGGGTTACGCAAACGAAAACTCGTCGACTGCAGTAGGCTTCTGGTCTAGTCATGGCACCAACGGGGGGGGCGACGCGAACGCAAACCCGTCCAGTAGGCTTGGCAACAAACTAATGCCATGATGTGACTGACGTCTGTAAGACTAAGAGTAAGGAGGAAGCACAAACTAAACACACGTACAGCACTGCTGCTGTAGATGCGGGAACATGAAAAAAAAACACACGAACATGCACCATGTTCCTTGATAGCACGTACTGTAGTCCACGAGTCGTTTCTAAGCCTGCGGGAATATAGCCGTGAAACGCTGAGAGATACCCCCAGGTACAACAGACGTAGTGGGCGGCGACCTACGTCCTCTCGAGGCCACACTAGCAGCATGTCCAACAGTGTAAAAGTGCTCACGACGAGACGTTATTAAAATACTGCTGTCTTCATTTTCCTTTTTGCAAAAAGCCTTCGATAGGCTTGCGAACTCCGGCCCACTTGGAACCGCTGGCGTTCAGAAGCTTAAAGGGAGTCGAGCACGAACATATGTGGTACCAAGTTTATGTTACTCAGCCACCACACCTTGGTCGTGTTAGTCATCATCGTCTTCCCGACGTATCAAACAATCCGTCGCGTAAAAGCGCTTTTCTTTTTCACATATCCGGAATCCATCCACAGATCAGACAAACCCACACCCTCAAGGGGAATGACCGGAACAAACCATCGAGTGAGTGGACCCTCACACAAACCTCGACCTTGCTACGCAACAGTATCACCCAGCTGCCTGCCGCACTAAACGCTCACACACCAAATCTACTTAGCAAAACTTGACACAGTGAGGCACTACCACACTACCAGACCTGCTCTTTGTAACGGGGCCAGGCACACATTTTTTGTATCGCCATCGCCCAGTGCGGTCGGTGCTCAAGACCGCGACTCATAGCCCGGTGGCCTTCGAGCTCCCCATGTTGAACATGTTTCCTATTTTTCAGCCGTTGTTGTGCTTGCTTCGCTGTGCAAGCTCTTTTTCCGGATGACCTCTCTTCTCGCTTGGACGTGCCGCCCCTGGGCCGTCTTGAACTTGCTGAGCAGCAGAGACACGTCTTGCGCTTTCTGCTCCATCCGAGACAATTACAACCGTTTCGGCAGGTTAGCAAGGGAAGGGAAGGGTGTTCGTGACGACGAGAAAAAAAACACAGAACATGAAGTGGTACGAAGAGAGCAAGAGAGCCCATGGTTGGCAGTGGCAAAGATGGCACTGATGTCGGTACGGTATACGTATACAAACCGCGGCAATCATGCCGCCCTTGATCCAGTGTACTTCTGCTTGGGGGGAAAGTGCCGTCGGGACTTGCGAAAGTACACCCTGCTTCTCCTACAGCAGCATGTATCTCCCCCTCTCGTTGGGAATAAGGTCTAGCTGGTGATGGCCCTAGAAGGACGGTGGACGAAAACCACAGGGGTCACGATGTCACCACCACACATTCCTGGTCAGTTTCCGCAAGGAGCATGACTACTTAGCGCCTAAACGACCGGAGGTGCTTTGCATGTGTCTTAACAGCGAGAGAGAGCATGGAGCTCCAAAGATTCACTACTCGGGTTTGAGAGACAAAGGAGGACTACAAAATGTGAGCGTGATAAAACTTGATACGCCATGCGATGTCCCCGCCAACAACAAGGGGGGGGCAACAGATGCTACGGCATCTGCCCCCCCTCCCTCCTTCTCTCTCCCGAACACCTCACGATGGTTCGCGCTTGGTGCTACGCGAGCGCGGTCGCCGAAAAACCGACGTCCTCTCTCCCGACATTGTAGACAAGCGAAGCGACTTCTACTGTTGAACCACCGCATACGGCCTCGTTATCACGACGGTATGTATGCGACGCGAGCCCCTGTACGGGGCTGCCTGCAGCCATTCAGTAGCCTTCGCAGCGTTTATCGTGCTTTGCAAATATGTCGGATAAAGCATACAATCGGGGAAGTTGGTAGGGGTTAGGGAATAGGGTCGGCGTCCCCCCTCCCCGTTCTACATCCTACATAAATCTATTAATCGCGCAAAGGCGGTCCCAGCCATGACCGATGACCATGATCCCACCACCCACCTTCCCACGTCTCGTCAAGGCAGTCTGCGCTGTTTGGACGCGCTCCCCCCTAGCCGTGCTCGTGACCCCGGTCGTGGAACTAGACGACGAGGAGGAGGAAGAGGAGGAGGAAGATGATGACGAAGGGAGAGCGGCGAGGTTTTGGTGGAGAGAGCAAGCGGTGGCCATGCGATCCCGTAGGATCTTGAAGGCAGCCGACTGCGATAAAGAGATAGCCATAGCAACAGCGACAGAGAGGGGAGGAAAAAAGAGTCAATTTAGCGAGGGTAACACGAACGAGGGGTGAAAAATGCAGGGTTCGGGCGAGGTTGGCAAGGTCAGGTCACAAAAACCTACGCACATCTACGAATGCAAAGTCATGCTTGAAAACAAAACAACTTTGAGACCATCGATACCTCCGCATCCCTCCCGCTTCAACCCATCCTGACTGTGGTCCATAGGTCGTCTCAACATGGAGGGCTGCAGGCAAGCGGCAATCTTTCACTGGCACTCCCGCGTACCCCCGCCCTTGGGGCGTTTGCTCTACTCCTACTCGGCTACGTTTACTTGTCATATCGTAACTAGTACTGGCACACCTGTGGCAGGAGCATGAGGATGCCGTAAAGGCTCTTGAGCAGGAAAGGGTAGGACGGCGAGTCCACGTCCAACAGCTGCAACCGAAGCCGCAAGAATATGGGAGACTCTATCAGCTGCACGAGTTTGTCCACCTGTAGAAAGAGGAAGCGAAAGCGAACAAAACAGGGAGGGTGTGCACGACGCCGCGAGAGCGTTGGCAAGCCAGTTAACGCCGCACCAGACAACTAACTGGTATGGTATGAGGAGCAGAAAGAGCGCACCAGATCAATCACCACACAGGTGCCGATCGAGACAGGATGCCATTCGCCCTCGTGCACGAATCACGAATGAATGCCAAGTCCAAGAGCCTGGCCTAGACCTCCACGCGCAACAACAGCTAATCCTGGCGGAGGCATGCAACATTCCTTAGGCCACCAACGAACGAGTGATGGCGAAATGGTTCCCTTAGGCCCCTTCCAATAGCAGCTAGTCACCCGTAGCACCCAATTGTCGGTTCAGTCTTGGAAACAAGTGAATCCGAACAAGCTGGTTTTGAGAGAGATTTCCTGAAGTGCCTTCAGGCTGCTTCGGTTGGAGCGGCGGAACCGCATCGTGAGAGAGAATGTTCACTGTTCGCGTCCACAGGATCCGCCTCCTCCTCCTTCACGATCAATATCAAGGGTGGAATGATACCACCCCCCCGAAAAAGAACACTGGAGACTGCCATCAACACAGAGCATCGGTGGTATCTAGCTACCAACGCTTCAAAGGGTGTTGTTCGTAGACAACGCTTCCAAAGGGCCACCTGCTTGGAGATATTGAATCACTGGTTTCTACAACTCCCAGCGCTTCAAAAGCACAACGGCTGGTATCTACGACTCCCACAGCTTCACTTAAAGAAGGACAGCTGTGCGCACACAAACAAGCACACCTGCATCAGAAACCCGACCGTGATCTCCACCTCCGCCACCTCCTTCACCAGCTCCGCGGAGACGTCGTACGCCTGTGCGAGCAAGCACAGGCTGAAGGTCGCCACTGGGTTGTGGCACCAGCACGCGAAGAGAGCGGCGAAGAGCTCCCTGTCCTCCGGAGACGCGTCGCTCCTCGTCGAAAGCCTGAGCGCCTGCCGGAGCTCTTCTAACTCCCCCGCCGTCAGCAAGATCAGATTCAGCGCCTGAGGAGGGGGTCAGGGCGGCGGCGGCGGCGGGGGGGGGGG